TTATCCCGCCTATCTTATCTAATAGACCTGCAGAGATAATATTATGCACAAAAACAAAACAGAGTAAAACAAAGCAACAAAAGCAAACAAAACAACAACAACAAAACCAATGACCAAAAAAAAAGAGAAGCCTGTAAATAGTTCAAGGTCTGTTTCTTGACCTTTAGGAGTGTTTTCCAGTTGAGTCTGATGGGGTGCTACGCCCTGGTCCCCAAGTCTATTTTTGGTATTCCCTCGGGACTTATTTGCTCTGCTCCCCTTACCGTTCTGTTGCATGCCCTTAGTGTTTTGCCTCACTGTGGTGAGGGGTTCAGATCAGACGCAATTCCCACATTGTCTCCAGTGTTGTTCCCTGTAGGGTTAAGGGTCAGTGAGGGATGTCATGTCTTGTAATGGGGCCAGCCATATGGTCCTCTCTGTGCACTGGCTGCTCTGAGCAGGGATATCGTCCTCAAGGCTTGGTGGGCCAGGATGTGCTCCATTCTCTCCTCCTCCCTCTTCATTTGCTTCCATGTCTCTGATCAGACATGTTTCTCTTCCTGAGCTGTGCCTTCAGTGCTGTCCTCTGAAGTGAATTTTTCTGGTGGGACGGACAGCTGTTGGCATTGGAGCTGGCCCCTGACAGTTGGCATTGGAGCTGGCCCCTGAGAGCTCTCTACTGGCTCCCTGCTTCACGCCAGTATATTGCATTCACATTTTGGAGCACTGGGTTGAAGTCTGGTCCCTCTTTCCCTGTGGAGATGTAAACAATACCCTCCCCTTGGATGGGTTAGTGACCTGTTCCCCTGCTACCCTTTTTTCTTTGTTTTTTTTTTCTTTTTCTCCCCTCCTTTTTTGTTGGCTACCTTATGTATCCCTGGATTTGGTCTGGGCCTTGCCAAACTACCTGGACCTCACCCCAGGAATGTTTGTATTAGTACAAACATTTTCCCTATGCCCCTTTTGCATTTTTTTAAAGCTTACCTCAGTGGACTCATGTTGTACTTGTCCTTTTGTGCTTACCGCCATCATCATTTTCAACGCATTGGCTTCCCACTTGAGCCCCTGATATCAGCTACCCATTTCTTCCCCTTTGTTCCCCCGCCCGCCCTCCCTCACGAATCCTTAATAAGTTATAGATTATTATTTTCATATCTTACATTATCCTCCATCACTCCTCACCCACTTTTCCATTATTCATCCCCTGGGAGGGAGTTCTAGATTGATCCCTGTGATCAATTCCTCCTTTCTCCCCTCATTCTCCCTTAACCTCCTACTCTCATTGTTGGTCCTGAGGGGTTTATCTATCCTGGATTGCCTGTGTTGTGGGCTCTTATCTGTAGCAGTGTGCATGCTCTGGTCTAATCTGATTTGTAAGGTAGAATTGAGGTCATGATAGTGGGGTGAAGGAAGCACCAAAGAACTAGAGGAAAGTTGTGTTTTTCATTGGTGCTATGCTGCACCCTGACTGGCTCATCTCTTCCCTGTGACCCCTCTGTGAGGGGATGTCCAATTGTCTACAGATGGGCATTGGGTCTGTAGTCCATGCCCCCCATCCCATTAACACTGGGTATGACTTTGTTCTGGGTCTTAGATGCCTGATACCTGAGCCCATCGACACCTCATGATCACACTAGTGTGCTTCTTCCATGTGGGCTTTGTTGCTTCTGAGTTAGATGGCTGCTTGTTTATCTTCAAGTCTTTAGACCCTAGATGCTATATCTTTTGATAGCTGGCACCATCAGCTTTCTTCATCACATTTGCTTATGCACCCATTTTGTCTTCAGCGATCATGTCGGGAAGGTGAGTATTACAGAATGCCGGATTATTAGAACAAAGTGTTCTTGTGTTGAGGGAGTAATTGAGTCAAGGCCCAATGTCCACCTGCAACCTTAATTCTTAACATATAGATATGAGTATATAGTTCTATTCCCCTATCATTATATATATACTTACATATGTACATGCCTGTATTTAGGCCTCTATAAATGTCCTTTGCCTCCTGGTTCTTTCCTCCATTTCCTTTTACTTTCTCTTGTTCCACCATCATGTTCAGCCTTCATGCGGGTTTAGTAATTCCTCCCTGCTACATTGCCCTTGATTAAGCCCCACAGGGCATAACCTGGATAATTTTTTAATTAATCCACATGCACAGTAGGGCCTTAAGTGTGTTATCTCAGCTCAGAAACCATCTAATTAGTGAAGTCTTCCTTCACCCTTATATAATAGTGCACACTTCACATCCTTTTCTTGTCTCCTCTTCTCTTGCTTCATTGCACTTACTACCATCTGACATACCACGCTGGTTATTTTGTTTCTCACCTTTAGTATACAAGGGCGCAGAAATACCCCTTAAAGTATTATCCCAGAATTCCAGATTTTATGTGACCAGTGCAGAGGGAAATCTATATTCTAGCTATTGCACATTCACTAATACAGGAGAAGACTGAATTAGCTTTGCTGAGGAGCTACACTTCTCTAGTGGCTTTTACTGAGCTTTTCATATAGAGAGTACCAAGAAATATCCCTGGAATGCCCTCCTGCCCTTTTGTTAATCTTTAGTGCCCAGGCCATATTTTCCCTTAGTCATCATGCCTCCCTGGCAGTTCAGCTCCCTGAGTGCTTCTTTCAAGTAATTTGCCTAATACTGCGGTAATTAGTTAGAATTCATCACAGGCTGGATTGCATTATAATTATCCTAACACAAAAAATACATTGACCTATTCCACACTTCTTACATAAATGCCACCTTTTAGTTAGCAACAATTTCTGAAGAATATTTTTGCAACTGGCTATAAATTAATAAGGGATAGGAAGAATACAAGTCTTTCATTCTGTTTTTATTTTGTATACAGTCCTATACGGTTGCTGTGAGTCAAAATTAACTCAATGGCAGTGAGCTTGGTTTTTTGTTTAATTAACAATGAAAAAAAAAAAGGAATCAACAACACTGAATAATTTTTTAAATTATGTGAGAAATTCAGTGACAGAGAGAAACCCTGATCTGAATCAAGGAGTTGGCAGCCATGGAAGAATGAAGGTTCATTCCTAAGCACATGAAAAGAGGGAAAATGGTTGGTTCAGCCAAGTATTCCCAGGAACTGGTCCTAACATGAGCAATTCTACCCAAGGCCACCCACAGCAACCTCACCTGCTGACCTTTCATTTAGCAAACAAATGCATAACCACTACACCTAGAAAAGGGCATCGTGCTTCCTAGAGGGTTAGCAAAACAGAGGGAGACCCTCAACCAGAGTGGTTGCGACAATGAGCTGAAACACACCAATGATACAGATGGGATTTCATCCTGTTGTTTACAGGGTCACTATGAGTTGCAGTCAACTTGATGGCATCTAACAACCTTAATAACATGCTTCATGAGCCTTCAGGGCAGTCATTTTAATTAAGCATGCAAATGAAAGTGGTATAACTTTCAGATCTGTGTAAAGCACAATAAGAAGTAAGGTTTCTCCCTAATAAAATTCACCCATTCATTCACCAACAATAATATGACAGATACTGTGCTTTGTGCTGGGATGCTGTCCTTAAGCACATCAAAGTTAAGTGGAAGAGAAACACAACTAGAAATGTAAGTGACAATACAGTGTGTCATAATATTCTCTGCCATCTCTTGCTGATGGCTCAACCTCTATTACCCTCTCTTAGTTCTGCAAAGCACCTCTCACAATCTGAAAGTATGTTAACATATTCTTTTTCAAACATGTTGATTGTCTTTCTCCTCCCACTAGAACGTACGTGTCTTACAAACAGGATCTTTTCTGTCAGGTTCTCTATGGTCTCCCTAAAAACAGTTTGGTATCAATAAGTACTTAATGTTATTGACTAAATGATAAAAGAAAAATACGTAGAAAGGGTTGAAGCTATACAGAGACTATAAGAAAAAGGCTTCCCAGAAAAGGTGAGGCATAAGCTAAGCCTTTAAGACCGGATGTAAGTCCTCAGGCAGATAAAGCAATCTAGAAAATGCCAGGAAGCATTTCTAAGCTATAGAAAATATAGTACATCCATGGAACTACAAGTAGTTGAATGCAGTAATATGGGATAATTGTGGAGTCAAAACTAACAGTGGCACCTAGGTAATAATAATATGTTACTCTCTAAATCTACTACAATCTTTCATAAGTCATTTGAAGATTCTTTTTTTTCAAATGAAATGCCATCTGTAGAAACTCAAGGATTTGGCTTCAAAGATTAGTCTGGTTATTATGTATTGAAAGGATGAAGCGTGGTACTAAAAGCAAGTGAGCTCCAGAACTAAACTTTCTTAGTCCAAATCCCAACCCCAGCTCTATCATTTCCCAGCTGTGTGATCTTGGGCAACTTACCTAACTTCTATGCACCTCAGTTTCTTCCTCCGTAGCATAGAGAACAATAAACCCAAAGCAAATCCACGGTCATGGGGTCGATTCTGACTCACAGTGACCCTATCTGAGGTTTCTGAGGCTGTAACTCTTTACAAGAACAGACAGTCTTGTCTTTCTTCCCCAGAGGGACTGATGGGTTTGAACCTCTAGCCCACAGATAACAATAGTAACTATCTTGTAAAATTGTTGTGAGACGTAAATGAATGGGATAGGTAACGTGATGAAAACAATGTCTGACTAGAGTAAACACTATCATTTTTGTTTTTTGCTACTTTGACTGTTTTTCAATGATTTCCCTAGTTGAACTTGATAATGGTGTTTGGCCCATGAATCAACTTTCATAGTTAAATATTTTCATAAGAATATCGACAGCATTTTTTTTTTCATTTTGGTTGATTTTTTGCTAGTTGTTATTATTATCCTTTTTTCCCCTTTTTTCTTTGTATTCAATCTTTTGTTTTGTCTCTGTTATTGTTGGTTTGCCTTCTTATGTAAGATAGGCATGGTCAGCAAGCTCGAGGAGAAAACATGATTCCAGAGGGACTTGGGGGGAGAAGGAGGTGAGGGAAGGGAGCAGTGAGCAAACAAAGCCATTAGTAGGGGAACAACCATGGAATTAAATCAACACTGAGCAGGATGTAGAGATCCTGGAGTGTTGGAGCAACAGCAATCTAGCTGAGAGGAATTACTAAGAGGCAGAAGTGTGAATGTGATGGTGGGGCAGGAGGATGGTAAAAGGAAATGGAGGAAAGATCTAGGAAGAAAAGCTATAGATAGAAGAACAAGCAAGGTATGTATATATGTAAGTATAAGAAGGTATGTATATATGTAAATACATTAATTCATAAAGATAGAGGTATTGGCCTATGTACATAAATTTATATGGCAATATACTGAGGTAGTGGATGAACTTTGCGTGTCTGCTCATGCCCTCCCTCAATGCAAGAACACTTTGTTCTATCAAGCTGGTAGAAGTAGAGACCCAAAACCCATCTGTAGACAATGGGACATGTCCTCACAGAAGGGTCACAAGGAAAGAATGAGTCAACCAGGGTTCAGTATAGCACTGATAAAACACACAATGTTTCTCTGGTTCCTTGAGGCTTCCTCACCCCCCACTATCATGACCTCAGTCCTGCCTTTCACTGCGGGCTAACCCGGAGCATGTCCACAGGTACAGATAAGAGAAAAGAGCTCATGAGCTATGGAATCCAGGAACAGGAATGGGAGTAGCTATACCAGGAGGGTAGAGGTAAGGTGGGGAGAGGTGGGGAGGAAGAGGGAACCGATTGCAATGATTGACACATAACCACACACACACCGCCCCTCCAGGGGAACGAACAACAGAAACCATGGAGGAAGGGAGACAGCGGTCAGTGTCAGATATGAAAATAATTATAATTTATAATTTATTGAGGAGTCACAAGGGTGAAGGGTGGAGGGAGGGGGGAAAAAGAGGAGGTAATACCAAGGGCTCAATAGAAAGTAAATGTTTAGAAAATAATAATGGCAACCTATATACAAATGTGCTTGATACAATTGATGTATGGATTGTTATAAGAGCTGTAAGAGCCCCCATGAAAATGATCTTTTAATTAAAAAAAAAAAGAATATCAATAGCAAACATTTCATTTGAATCCCAAGTAAGAAATATTTACTAATATGCTACTTACACTAACTGATTCATCATCTTCTGCTGCTCTTTAGATCTTCGGTAGTGAAGCAGCTTACTCTGGGATGGTGTATCCACACCTAAGCCCTCTGGGGGACGGACAATGGGGGGTAACTTCAAGTTCAGAATCTCCTTTTCTGCTGCAATGGCAGCTTTGTTTTCATCTGACATCTTGGTCCCCTGAAGATTAAAATACTCTATATTCTGAGGAGAAAATGTGGTGCATAAAGTCATTATTTTAGAACAAGCCTCTGTATATCCACATTATCTTACATGCTTATCACTCAAAATAAAATTATAAGCCTTTGTAGTTCTTCTTCTCAAGTGTGGTGATAAGAATGGCAACTGGGAAAAATGAGGAGAGACTCTTGTTAGAGCTGGTTGGTGCAGTGAATTACTCGATATGGCACTTCTAGCCATAATCTTTGTGACTTCCACCAAATGACTAGGTGGGCCACATAAACAGGGTTGTAAGGAACCTGGAGATTGGTCAGTTTGCCAACTCACTGGCAAAGAAGCCATCTCAGACGCTGAAATGGTGGGGTGGGATCTCGCTCCCATCAAAAAAGAAAAGTTGGGAGCAGAGTGCATCCTTTGGAGCCTAAAATCCCTACACACTAACCATGATCCAGGAGGCAAAGAATTGTGAAACCAGAGGAGCAGCAGCAGCTGCACCAAGAGCTCAAGACAGAGTGGCAGCTTCCCAGGCTACAGAGGGAAAAAGCAGGGCGCCTGCAGACTTGCTTGCAGGGCACTTGTTAAAGGGAGCTGGGTCTCCTAACTCAAGCAGGGAGCTGGAGCTGAGCACCTTCCAGATGAGGCCAGGGCAGCATGGAGTACCCTGGGGCACTTAGAGGGAGCACTGAAAGAGTTTTGTAACAGTGTCTGAGAAGGGCAGAAGCAAAGGGAAAGGACCACATGTCTGACAAGGTCAAAGAGTAGAGAGAGGCATGCTGGCAGGCAATCGAGGCTATGCGTGTCTGATGCTGAATTTTAACTTATCAGCTTCCCTGATAATCTTGAGTATTGTCTGTGTGGTCCCTGGAGGAATTCTCTAAGCCACGAGAGAGGTCTGCAGCTGTGGGGGGAATACTGGTATTAGCAAGGGTACAGGAATGGCGGTCTGGCTTCATGGGAATCAGCCTGGAGCTGATGTTGCCTTTGAGTGTCCTTGCCTCCTTCGAAGTCAAAGGCGGCCGGTCAGCTGCCACCCTCACCCACTCTTACAGAGCTCTGCCACCCACTTGCTATGGAGACATGAAATCACCTCCTGCTGGAGTCAAGCTTCCTCAAGGATTCAATGAAAGAAAATGCTCTCTGAATAGCCACCAGAGGGGGTGGGGTGGGGGGGGAGGTAAAAATCTGGGTGAAAATGTTTCCCTAAGATGCAAACCACAATTTTTAGAAATTAAAAATTCAGATGAGTACCTCCAAGAAAGCTGATATTTGAAATTATTTATCTTTTAAAACACACACACACACGCTCAAAACCATGAAGCCTAGAAAGAGTGATGGTGTCAGTAAACAACGGTAGGCATGCTGACCGCGTTGCCAATCAAATATAAAATGCTATGCACATGCTGAGCGAGTAACAGTGATACTAACGACATGTCCTCTGGGTGCCCACAGATTCCTTGATCACTGCCTCTAAAGAGACGCCCAAACCGCAATTGCCTCCCCCAGGTGACAAGCTTGGAGAAACGCGGAGGATAAGACAGTACCTGTCTTAGTGTTTTTCACTTCTTGGCTGCGCTGAGGAGAGAGAAACATTTAACTCGTTTCTTCTCTGGTGGGCCGAAGGGAACTAAGGAAGAGCGAACCCTTCCGAGCCCCACCAGCGCTCAGGGAAAGGCTAGCCAAGAGCGGTCACCTACGCCCGGTAGAAACAAAGTTGTCGCCATGGAAACTGTCCGGCCCTCGAGACAAGCGATTGGGAGAAGGTTGCCAGGAGAGGCGGTTGCTGAGCTCCTACAGGGCTGTCACAACAATCATTCCTGCTAAAGTTTAGGGTAATTTTTCCCTAACAACCTTCCTTTGCCGGGTCCAGGGAATTATGATCCTGGAATCATTTCTAAATCTGGAAAACTCCAAGACGGGACATTTGGGTTCGTTGGGAAGTTAGAAGATGGACTCCCTTCTCAGAGAAAGAGCTTCCGGCGTCCCGTTGTGATTTCTTGTAAATACTGCAGCTAATAGCAAGACAATGTATCTTTCTTCTATAGTTGCCATTTGTCTATACAGTACTTTCCCTTTGGGAAATATTTGGTGTAAATAGAGTCAGTTGAGTATATTTAGGGAGAGAAATGCGCTGAGGCTGCAGGATGCATATGCCAATCTCCACAAATACTGCGTGCCCAGAGAAAACTGAGGGATGAATAAAGCCTGCTAGGTATTGACAGCATATTCATTCAACAACTATTTGTGCGTTCTCACGTGCCTGTCAGCAGCTCTGGTGGTGCAGCGATAGCAATTCAAACGCTGCTCTGCGGGAGATGTGGCAGTCTGCTTCTGGAAAGATCCACAGCCTTAAAAACCCTGTGGGGCAGGTCTACTCTGTCTTATAGGGTTGCTATGAGTACAAATAGATTTGTACACATAGTGGGTGCTATAAAAATGGCATTTGTGGGACTAAGTGAATAGAACTTGCTGATAGTTTGAAAAAACAAATGATCTTTTGGTCGAGAATTAAATATTGAAGTGTGAGTTTTTTTAATTTTAATAAATTATTGGCGGGGCTCTTACAGCTCTTATAATAATCCATACATCAATTGTATCAAGCACACTTGTACATATGTTGCCATCATTATTTCCAAAACATTTTCTTGTACTTGAGCCCCTAGTACCAGCCTACGTATGGCTGTGAAAGATTTTGCAGATGGGATTCAAGTCCTGGGAAAGCCAGCTTTAGTCTAGGGAGATTATCCCAAGAGATTGGGAAAAGACAGCTTGTGCCTTCCTTGAGTCAGGCTCCAAAAGGCTGACTGGAGTCTACAATTGCTCCCCTACCTTCGAGTCTTCCCTTCTGGACAAACTGCCCTACAGACCTCAGGCTTGCTTAACCAGACCCCAGTGTATAAACCAACTCTTTGTGATAAGTTCATATTTATCTATCTTCTTCTACTCTGGTTGAACCCTGACCAATGCACTGTATCTTTTTTAAAAAAATGCTTTATTGAGGTATAACTTATATACCATAAAATTCAGCATTTGTACATATAAAATTCAGTGATTTTTAACCAACTCATACCATTATGCAACCATTACTGTGGTCCAGTACTTAAACATTTCCATCCCCATAAGAGGTTCTTTTGGTCCCATGTGTAATCAATCCATGCCTCTGTAGACTTCAGACAAATGGAATAATACGTTATATAGTCTTTCGTTTGGCTTACCTCTCTGATAACCTCGTTGGTATATAGTGGTATCTCACTGGAGTTTTCATTTGCATTTCCCTTAAGAATGAAGATGTTGAACATCTTTTCATGAGCTTATTAGTCAATCATTTATCCTTTTATGATGACTAGGCAAGTATTTTAAACTGAATTATTATTTAACCCATTATTTCATTGAATTTAGTTCTTAATATATTCTGGGTACAAATTCTTTACCAGACTGATGATGTGCAAATATGATTATGTGGTCCCCAAAGTAGCTCACTGCTCATTTTCTTAATGGTGTTTCCTTTATGGAACATGCTTCAGGGCTTGTTCTTTATTAAAAATAAGGGCATGGTGAGTTTCTCTTCTAAAATTTTTATAGTTTAGGTTTTACACTTAGATCTATGATGCATTTAGAGTTCATTTTGTATATGGCATAAAGTATAGATCCAAGATATTATCATTTTTTGCAAATGCATACAAAATTATCCCAGCAACATTGGCGGGGAAGGTTACCCTTTTCCTATGGAATTGCCTTGGCATCTTTTTTTAAAAAACAATTGACCATAACTGTTATGGTTTATTTCTGGGCTCTCACTTCTGTTCCATTGATCTCTATCTTTACACTAACACCACATTATTGATGATTATAGCTTTAGTAAGAGAAGCTGTAGCTTTGAAAACCATCCAACTTTGTTCTTCTTTTATAAAGTTTTGGCTGTGCTTTAGAATATTTGGCTATTCTTTATTTTAGAAATATCTTTTCATCTTCCTCTCACTCACTGATTACTTTGCAGTGGTCTGTCATCCAACACATCTGTATTCTTACCAGGACTTTTCTAGAGAATGGAGATTCAGCTTTGAAGAAAACAATTAAGTCTCTTCCAACATGGAGATTGAACATCTTTGTTTCCTGCACTTCTTCCTGACTTCTACATATTGGAAGGCCAAGGTTCACTTCTTGGTGGCCTCCTTTTTCTACTTCCATCGCTTCCTAGGATATCTCATCAAATCTATATGACAGGGCCCCTACCCAAGAAGTCCTACTCTGTACCTCCTCTGGCTGACTTTCCTCAACACGGTAAATTAACCATGAGGCCAAGGGGCTGTGCTTACACAACCCATGTGCCCCTCTCTAGGCTGCAGGGTGAAGCTTAGACAGGCAAGTTAGTTATCACAAATCTCTAGAGGGCTCTCAAGGTACTTAAAAAACAAAAACAAAAAACCAGGGTGGGAAAATAAGGGTCTGGTCAAGTGCCAGAGACTAGTTTTCCTCCTGAGGTAAGCTATGCCTCACAACTTAAGACTACTCAATAATATACTATCCCATTCATGTGAAATATGCAGAATAGGCAACTCATAGAGGCAGAAAGTAGGCTAGCAATTGTGAGGGGGTGAGGGAGATGGGAAACGAGTGACTGCTAGCTGGCATGGGGTTTGTTTTGGAGTGATGAAAATGTTCTGGCATTAGGTAGTCTGTATGTTGTTGTTGTTAGGGGCTGTACAGTCCAGTGTTGTTAGGGACAACCCTGTGTACAACACCGACCGGTCCTGCCACCATCCATACAACTGGTATGTTTGAGCCCATTGTTTGCAACCATTGTATCAATCCATCTCCTGGAGGGTCTTCCTCTACAGCTAAGAAAATCCTGTGAAGCTCAGTTGTAATCTTATAACAGAAGTCACTCCACAATAGCTTTGGCTTTGGGTTCCTATCTCTTTGCCAATGAAAAAGCCACTGCTTTTTCTCCCCCCACCTCCCCCCAGTTTGTCGTTCATTGTTTCTGCCAATTTACTAGCTGAGTGCCCTTGAGCAGACCATGTCTCTGGACTTCACATCTTTAAGAGATGGCTGAGGGGAGCAACTTCCGAAAAAAGGCTTAACTATGACGTAATGCGGGTAGATCTTGAAGTAGTCAGTGCTGAGTTGGAAGTTACTATGTATTGTCAGTCATGGACTACTAGAGGCTCAGCTTGGCGTGAGGAAGCTACAGCCTACCTACGGCGAGCCCACCACACCTCGGAGGAAGGCGGGCTGGGACTGCCACGCGATGGAGAAGAATGGAGTGAGTGACGCTTCCTCAAGTCCGGGGACAGGCTGGCAATTCCCGCTGAGAGGCCGGAACCTTCCGCCTCTCGAGCCCGCAGTCACGCGAGAAGACCGCGGGACGCCTCCCGTTTAAGCGAGGCTCCGCCTCCTCCAGCGCCGGAGGTTTCGCGACACCCCCCAGCCGCTTCCGGCTTGACGTACCTTCAACTCCTACCTCTGAACTACACTTTCGACAAAAATGTGGGCGCTGATATTTTCCTCTGAAACCACCATATTCTCTAGCTATTCTTCCCACTCTAACTACCATTGATAATGAGAAATTACCCCGAGAGAAAAGTCAAATAGGTGAGATTACGAATAAAAGTAACGGGTGAGCGGCCCTGGCGAAAGTGTGCTGCGGAAGCGTGTCGCACTCTTTCTTTGCCGGCCGTAAGTCGCAGGAACTGAATGGGTCCCGGCGCCGGCGACTGCGGCGCCTCTCTCCACTTGACGCTAGAGCACGTTTAGCCGTCGGTCTCGCCAGCCTCTGGGCCACCAGGTTCATGTGGAGACTCCCCAGCGTCCGCGCCGCGCTTCGTGGGGTCCGGACGGTGGCCGAGCGGCGCGGGCGGGCGGAGCCGGTGACCGAGACGGCGGCTGGAACCATGGAGCGCGCGGTAGTGCGCTGCGTGCCCTCGGAGCCCAAGCTGAGTTTGTCTTTCCCGCTGGCCGACGGCAGCCACAAGAATATGCAGCGTGATCAGAGCGAGCCACTGGGTCGGGCCCTTAGCCGGATCGCCACGAACGCTCTCAAGGGCCATGCTAAGGCCGTCGCCGCCAAGAAGAGCAGGAAGAACCGGCCGAACGCGAGCAGCGGCGCGGCTGGTGCAGGGCCCGGCCTCGAGCCGGGCACTTCTTGCGAACCCGTGGTGAAGCTGTACTACCGGGAGGAGGCGGTGGCTGAGGACGTGCTCAACGTGGATGCCTGGCAGGACGGCGCCGTCCTACAGATCGGCGACGTCAAGTACAAAGTGGAGCGCAACCCACCCGCCTTCACCGAGTTGCAATTGCCACGCTACATTATGGCTGGCTTTCCGGTGTGCCCCAAGCTCAGCCTCGAATTTGGGGACCCCGCCGGCTCACTCTTCCGCTGGTACAGGGAAGCCAAACCTAGAGCATCCGATCCCGAGGGCGAGGGCACCTCGTCGTTGCCTCCCGCCTCTCCCTCGCCTAGTTGGACCGAGACGGGTGTGAACGAGCGCGTCTACGCCCCGACCAATGCTGACATCGGGCTACGGCTCAAGCTTCACTGCACCCCAGGCAACGGGCAGCGCTTCGGGCCCAGCCGGGAGTTGGAAAGTGTGTGCCCCGTGGAGGCTGGGCCTGGCACCTGCACCTTTGACCACCGGCATCTTTACACCAAGAAGGTGACAGACGACTCTCTCATCCGTACGGTCTCCTACAACATCCTGGCCGACACGTATGCCCAGACGGAATTCTCCCGGACTGTCTTGTACCCCTACTGTGCTCCCTACGCCCTGGAGCTCGACTACCGCCAGAACCTTATCCAAAAAGAGCTCACGGGTTACAACGCCGACCTCATCTGCTTGCAGGAGGTCGACCGAGCAGTGTTTTCAGACAGCTTGGTGCCGGCCCTCGAGGCTTTCGGGCTGGAGGGTGTGTTTCGAATCAAGCAGCACGAAGGCCTGGCCACCTTCTACCGCAAGTCCAAGTTCAACCTTCTTAGCCAACATGACATTTCTTTCCAGGAAGCCTTGGAATCCGACCCTCTTCACAAAGAACTGCTCGAGAAACTAGCTTCATACCCACTCGCGCAGGAAAGGGTGTTCCAGAGATCTTCTGTCCTTCAGGTAAAGTGGCTCCCACCCGTTTCTTCATACACCGGTACGGTGTGTGTGTGGGGAGGGGGAGAGGGGATGTTTACAAACCCGATTCGATCAAAGGAAGACTTGGAGTTCGTTCTTTCACTCAGGAGATATTTCCTGAGCACCTCCAGCGGGCCAGGTCTGCTGCAGGTTGCCCTGAACAGGAGAGACTCAATGTCACAACCTAGTGGGCGAGGCAGACACCAATTACTAGAGCAGTGGTTCTCAACCTTCCTGATGCCGAGGCCCTTTAGTACAGTTCCTCAAGTTGTGGTGACCCCGCATGTGGGCGTATCTGCATGTGGGCGGACCGTCTGGAGACGGATAGAGCAGTGTCTCTGTTCCAAGTCCATCAGGGATATGGCGAGCCCTGTGAAAGGGTCGTTCGACCCCCAAAGGGGTCGCGACCTACAGGTTGAGAACCACTGAACTAGCGTGACAGTAATAGCTAATATTTCCATTCTGTTTGGCCAGCACCGTTCTCAACTGCTTAAAATGTAAGTGCCTTGGTTTTATGAAGTGCTTCATAAACAGTAACTATTCTTTGTCAGTGGCTCATTAATATATCTTCCCAGTGATCCTGCTGGTCTTTCCGATTTGTAGTCGATTCAGTGGTCGAGTTTACTTATCCAAGTTCGCACAAGTGTGGAGCCAGGATGCTCACCCTGTCAGTTACAGATGCCATCACTGGACAGAGGTGCTAACTGCTACTCGCTTAAGGCTGTCTTAGTTTTTAAAACATTCATTGGTGTATTTGCCCAGTATTTTTAAGTGATTGATTTAGTAAAGCACTTAACATTTTTCGAGTGCCCGTTGTACTTCCTGTTCCTCCAATTAGTGCCTTTAATTGAATCTACATGCCCATGAGATGGTGAGTGATAAAATGTCTCTCCCAGATCACACTGCTGTAAATGGTAGACTGGGTATTTAAACCTACCTGATTCCAAAGGCTGCTCTTTTTTTTTTTTTTCCAAAGGCTCCTCTTAACTCAGTGAACTGCCATCCAAATTTAGTTTTGTTTAAAATGTATTCTTTTCAGATTATCTTTATATTATGGACTGTTACTAAAACATATGCTGAGTGCTATTCATGTGTGCACAAGCTCCTGTAACAGAAATCAGATTTGATAATTACTCTCTTGGTTCATCAGTAAGGGGCAGCTACAGAATAAAATGTGAGTTCATCAGATAGTCTTGAATAAAAAGCATTCAGGAGCTTTGGCAGACTCCAAATGAACTCCTGGCACTTTCTGTTTGCTTTAGGTTTCAGTTCTCCAGTCGACAAAGGACTCTTCTAAAAAGATTTGTGTTGCTAACACCCATCTCTACTGGCATCCAAAAGGTAGGTTTTATTTGCTTTCACAGATGACTTACATATGGTGACTTAAGGTTGGTAAAGCTGTTTTACACAAATATGCCTCTTCAGTGTCACCTAGATACTGTAGTTTGTAAGTTTTGTTTTTTAAGTTCTATTGACATAATTCATATACCATACAATTCAACGGTTTAAGTATATTAAAGAGTTGTGCAGTCATCACCACAATCAATTTTACAGTTTTTTCATTTTTTTTAAGTACTTATGTTATTTTTTTATATGTTCACAGGTGGGTACATTCGTCTCATTCAAATGGCAGTAGCCCTGACTCACATTAGACATGTCTCATGTGACCTGTATCCTGGCATACCAGTTACATTCTGTGGCGACTTTAACAGTACGCCATCCACAGGAATGTATCATTTTGTCATCAGTGGCAGCATTCCAGAGGAACATGAAGACTGGGCTTCCAATGGGGAAGAGGAGAGATGCAACATGGCTCTTACCCATCTCTTCAAACTGAAAAGTGCTTGTGGTGAACCTGCTTACACAAATTATGTTGGCGGCTTTCACGGATGTCTGGATTATATTTTCATTGACTTCAATGCTTTAGAGGTTGAACAGGTGATCCCATTGCCCAGTCATGAAGAAGTTACCACCCACCAGGCCTTACCTAGTGTTTCGCATCCCTCTGATCACATAGCTCTTGTGTGTGATTTAAAGTGGAAATAGATTTTTCTTTATTGGAACTTGTTTTGTAAGTATGGAAAGGGTGTTAGTGGGAGACCTTAATATGAATCAAAGCTTATATGTAACCTTCAAAGAGGGAAACTAGACACTAAGGTAAAATGTGCATACCCTATTAGTTAAGTTCTAACATGTCTTCATTCAGTGACTTCATACTGTTTGCATAATATAGTTTCTCTGCCCTTTTTTTTTCTTCTCTATACTTGAAGGGAAAACATGTATCTATTTATGACAGGTAGGAAGGTAATTGAATTATTGCATAAGTTTTTTTATAAGTAGGTGGGTTTTTTAGTAATTACAGTTTTTTAGTGTACCATATCGATGTTCCTATGATTTTCTATCAGAACATATTCAAATGGATCATGTTTATAGAATTAGGGAGAAAAAATTTGCAAGGTAAGGAGAGAGGCCTAAGTTCTGACATAGGGAAGGAATAACATTAGGGTCTACCTCTACCTCAATTTGGTTAAGTTAGAATAATTGCAGTTTTAAGTTTTAACAAAAGATTAAAATACACCATAACCTATTGTCATTGCTTCTCATCCTTCCATATCAATCAACAAATATTTTCAATCTCTTGTTCTAGATTTCTCCTGGGAGAAAGACTAGACTTTCTACTCCTATCAAGAGTTACAGTCTCTGAAACCATAGGCTGTTTTGCCCTGTTCTGCAGGGTTGCTGTGAGTCAGAATGGACTCAGGGGCAATGAGTTGGGGTTTGTTCTTTATCCTAGATTTCAGTTTTCAGGGTGGTGCAGATCATTTTTACTGTGGCTCATTTTCAGTTTTAGGATGGGAGCACAATTTAGTGTTGAAAGTGAGCAGCAACATATTCAACTTGATCCCACTGTCATTAATTGTTCCTGCCCATCAAAAGTGTTCACACTTCATTTGGCCACATGAAGTTAGTGATCACAGCACAATACAATATGAAACGCTGTCTACCAACAGGACTTGAATTTTGGGATGAACCACTGAACTATTATGCTAGAAATGTTTTCCAAATTGTCAAGTTTTATAAATTAGAAATGGGAGTAGGGGAACTTTGGGGCAGCTCTGGAAAAAGAAAAAAACTATTGTTTTTATAGACTAACACATTGTAGTTTGAGTTACAGAAAAACATTATATATATAATTTATATTGTAAAAGGATTTTAAATCAGCCAAGTGCTTTTTACAATGAAAAATTACAAATAGTTGTACTGATTGGTGTCTGGCCTAAAATGGTAACTAAGCTTTATTCAGTTTTTGCTCTACTTTATTTGTAAGGCTTTAGCTGTTGTCTGTTTGCTGTTAAGGATAACCTTAATCTCAGCTCATACCCCCATTTAATTTCTAGCATGGGTAGTAAAAATCCCCCACATCAAGAAAAGCTCTTGATTTTTCCCCCCAGTCATTAAAGCCCTTGTTCCAAATTCTTCCATCTATGAACCCAGTACCATAAGAAGTTTCTTCTTTTTTAAAAAAAATTTTAATAAATCATTTTATGGGGGTTCTTACAGCTCTTAGAACAATCTATACATCCATTTGTATCAAGCACATTTGTAAATTTGTTGCCATCATCATTTCCAAAACATTTTCTTTCTACTTGAGCCCTTGGGATCAGCTCCTCTTTTCCCCAAGGTTCCTCTTTTGACCAAAGTAGCTTTCACATTCACACTGGTCATTGTATTGTTAATTCTTCAGTACTCCAGACAGAGGATTTCTCCTGCACTGCAGATTGAACGTTGAAGCCCTAAAAAGGACGTATAGGGGAGGGAGAATTGAGGTGGCAGTTTCTTGGGATCTCGTTTAGAAAAAGCTGTAAATGGAAAATTAATGCTACCGAATTGTGCCTTCCTTAAAATGATTTTTAGGAACATTTACACATTAGGTGACAAATACAAAAAAATGAGATATTAAAGCCAGAATCTTGACCCTTTTTTTTGGCAATTTTTCTTCTTTTTTTCTCTTTATTTTTGGTCTGATTTCAAACTGGTTCATAGGACCCTCCAGCAACTTTAGAGAAAACCGGCAAAAAATTGAGTCACTGGGAAAAATTAAACCTTGGCAGACTCGCTCATACCCATGAGAAAAGCATAGGAGTACTGAATTGACACCATGGCTCTGCTAGACGTAAGGTGACCAGACGTCCCGCTTTTGGTGGGACAGTCCTGATTTTTAACAATTTGCCCCGCATCCCGCGGCATTTTAAAAATGTCCCGATTTTTGGAAAGAATGCACGACAAGCTAGGATATACGGTTTTCAGCTGCCATGTCGCTGTTTCGCCAGGATATGAGTTTTATCAATGGTGTCCCACTTTACCAATGTTAAAATCTGGTCACCTTATGCAGCTAGAGTGAACTCTGGTCAAGCACTTACCAGACATCCCATGTCCTGAATGGTGATACTTGCTGACTGAACAAGATGATCAGATTGTATACAGCCATTGCAGACTACTCAGATAAATAGAATGCTGTTGTGAAGTGTGTCAGGTACTCTGGTTACCTCTCCAGTTGAATGATTGGAGCCTAAGAAAAGGAAGACCAATAAAATGATACAAATAGTATACCAAAATTTCCTTGTGCTCATGATTTAGAATAGAGTGTTATTCAGAAATGTTTCAAGTGTTTAAAGCCATCTTTGTGCTTGGATTTTTCTATTACATTTGGATTTTTAGTACCTTGAGATTTAATAAAACGTGGGAAGTCTAGCAATGTTCTCCATGGTGAACCGCATTTTATGATGTCATACATTCTTGCTCAAGGAAACATTCCAAAAATGTGTGATAGATTGTAAATTGCTAAGAATATTATAGAAGACATTCTGTCAAAGTGAACTTTGTGCAGTTGTCATTAGAGCAAACTTGTACACCGATAGTTCATAATCCATTAACAGCTCATTTCTGGCTATGTTGTTATATTTTGAAAAATTAAATACTAAAATCAGTTTCGAATTTCCAGAAACTTCACTGGGTGGTGACTGTTTTGAGAGACTGAGGTATGGCCTCATCGGTACGTGCTAGTTTCAGTCTAGAGCTAGCGCTCTGAGGGAGCATGATACAGAGAGCGGACTGGGAGATTTCCCTCGTGGAAAACAGGTTGTGTGTTCTCTAGCAATGAAGTGCAGGCAGAGGTTCCCTAGAAACGAGTTTGGGACTAATTAAATTAAAAAGCCATATGCACTAGGCCCTGGGTTACAGGTAAGATCAAGTATAGATGTATCCAATTACTTTGCCTTGGCTTACCTCCGTGCATTTAAAAGTTGTGTGTGCTGCAACTGAAAGTGATTGAGATGAATTTGTTGAGAGTAAGGCTTGGTTCCAACACTTCAAAGACAGGACAAATTTATATATCATTAAGGGACAAGTAGGAGTTGCCCACAAATCAGATACTCTGACCTGTGTAATGAAAAGTAACACTATGCACTATTAGCTTATTACAAGACACACATGAAAACTCAGTAGAGAAAATTCTCTGAAAAGTTATGGCCACTAAAAATGTTTTCTAAACATAGCTCAGCAATCCTTAAAGATTTTGAAATTTTAAATATTTAGCTCAAGAGAAAACCAAAAAGAAGCACTAGATTTCATTTTGAGGGAGAAGATTTTTCTAAGCAGTTTTCCTGATTTGGGTATTATTCAAGTTTTGTGGACATGCATTATGAGACAGTACACCCTTTAATACTGAAGTTATTAAAGCTATATTAACTTGGGGTGATTATTTAGCACTAATTCCAGAATCGACATTTGACATGAGACTACCAAGACATTCTCTTAAGTTGAGGTAAAATTCACATAACCATTTTATGTGGGTATCGAGGTCCAAAGGAGCTTTGTTGACATAGTGTTTATGTGTTTGGTTGCAATCCACAAGGTCAGCAGTTCAAAACCACGAGCCACTCCAAGGAAGAGAGCTTTCTTACTCCTATGAACAGTTAGTCTCTGAAACTCATAAGGACAGTTCTACCCTGTGCTATAGGGTCGCGATGAGTCCGCATTGACTCATGGCAGTGAGTTTATCTAGGTTCAGAACCTTGTCATCTCCCTAAAAGGAACCCCTTACTCCAGAAGCGGTTATTCCAGTACCCTCCTTTCCCCAACCTGTGACAAACACTTGTTTTTCCTCCATGAATTTACTTATTCTGGATGTTTTGGATAAATGGAATCCTACAGTATTTGACCATTTTGTCTAGCTTCTTTTAGCATACATGCTTTTGAAGTTCACTCTGTAGACTGTAATAGTACATTGTTCGTTCACGTAATTGAATAATAATCCATTGTACGGATATCTACCACATGTTTATTTCTCCAAGTGGACATTTGTGTTGTTCCTGTGAGAAGTGCTGCTGAACCATTCGTGTGTCAATGTTTGAGTCCCTGTTCTCGAATCTCTTAAGAGTGGCATTGCTGGGTTATACCACAATTTAACTTGTTTGGTTGATTTCAACTCAGCGACCCCCTCCGTGGACAGCAGAACAAAACACGCTTGATCCTGCACCATCGTCACAGTTGTTGGAGCCCATAGTTTTGTCCATCTAGTTGAAGGTCTACCTCTTTTTCACTGCCCCTCTACTTACCAAGACTGATGCCTTTCTCTTCTGACAATACGTCCAAAGTACTTTTTGAGGTATAGCTGTTTTCTGCAGCAGCTGCACAATTTTGCATACCTACTAGCAATGCTTAATAGTCACCTGCCAACCTCTAAGTCCTCGAGAGAAAGATGGGGCCTTCTAGTAGTTGAGTTACGGTCAGGGCAGACCCACAGGGTTCCACCCTGTCCTGTAGGGTAACGAGGAGTAGATGTAGATTTGATGGCTTGATTTAACCTCTAGGTCCGGGGTTCAAACCCACCAGCTGCTCCTAGGGAGAAAGATGAGGCCATCTGTTCCTGTAAAGATTGACAGGGTCAATGCGTCAGATCTGCCCCATGGCAGAATATTATTGATGGATAGGGGTTCCAGTTTCTCCACATCCTCACCACACTTACTTGCCTTTTATTTTTAAGTTATTGTTCATCCCTATTGTGTGAGATGATATCCACTGGCCTGTTGTCCATTTGTGTGGTCTGAGTTGCTGTGACCCAGAATGAGTATTCACTATGGATTAATCAACCTAATCTTTGTTTTCTTCCCAGAGAGCCAGTTTTTAGCAATTTTTATTGGTTCACAGGTTGTATCAAGTTGGAAAAGTGAGCCTCGTTGCTTCTTTTGAAGAGATTTGGGAAATAAAAGGTTACAAAGCAAATTTGAAAGTAGCCTAAGTTAACAACAAAAAAATAAATGACCATTTTAAATGTGTCAATCTATTTACAGTGATTTCAGAGCATGAAATTGTTTATGTTGGTTTTGTTCCCCTATTAACCATTTTTTAATTCCTAATTCAGGCACATAATACAAATAGCAAAAATGATTAGAGACTGGTTCCTAAGAAACAGAGAAAAAGCTTAGCCCTTGAAAACTATAAATTCCAAGATAATCTTTGAGAATAAATTATGGTTAAAACATTTAGCTCAAAAATACATTGAGTTCATACAACATGAAGCAATATAAAAACTTCAAAGAATTTTGCAAGCTGGCCTTCTTGCATATTGAATCATGTGAAGCCAGCTGCTACAATTTCTATTTATATCTAAATGATAAAATCTCCAAATTGTAGCCCTTTAAAGTAATTTGAAGCCTCAGTGTAACAAATGACTACCACCTGGATTCATTCTAGGATAGCAATCTAGGTTGTCAAAATCCATGTTAATATAGTCAGGGTTTGATTTTTATTCAGAGTATTAAGTTTCTGTTAAAAAACCTCACTAAGGATAAACCAAGCATCTCCATCTTGTGTCCATTTTGATACATGTAAGAGTTTTAAGGTGGTGACAATGATGTTAGCCTGGGCATTGAAATACTCTTGGCCGTATTTTATCTGGTTCCATTTGTTTTCTTTCCTTGAAGATAGCTCCTTAGAGAACTAGATAGGCTTTATTTAGTTTGCTTTCTCATATGAGGGATAAGTTACATTTTTAAGACAGTTTACCATCTCTATCTTCCCCACAAAATAATTTGGAGAAATAGTAGATTCAGGAATAAGATTATTTAAAAGTAAAGCTGGCCTTCTTCAGAAAACCCTGATTATGTAGTGTTCTAGAGCTCTTGAAATAAAGATATGTCAGCTTTAGCTGGTTTTTTAAAAAATTATTGTAAATAAAGGAATTATCTCACCTTCCTATTTTTATTACATACCTAGAGATATCTGGCCTCTTATCCTAGTGTGTGTTCTTCATCCTAAATAATTGATGCTTTGGCTTTTCTCAGTTCTTTTTCTATATAAGGGCTTCTCATCACTCCATGTCAGATCAGTTAACAAGAACTGGTCTCCAATAGAAGCCTCTATACCCATTAACAGCTCCCCCTGGGGACCACTCATCTACAACCTGTTATCTATGAATTTGCCAGTTCTGGAGATTTCACATCAATGAAACTATACAAGATTGTAAGGAGCCCTGATGACATAGTGGATTAAGATTGGGCTGGTAACCAAAATGTCA